TATATGGGTTGTTACAGTTGGTATCAGAGCCTTAGTTTAAGGGATTTGGGTATTTGCGAAATACTTAGACTTAAACTAGAGGTGTGGAAAGTTTTGATAATAGGTTTCACTGGGTCTATGAACATGAGAATATGTTATAGCTGAAACTATTATGAGAAAGATAGATTATATATGACTGATATAATCTAAGTTATGAGTAGACATGAGGATAAATTTGTAATTATATGGTGATTATGAGAATAATCATGTGTGTTTAAATGTGACAGAAAAAGTCATATACTGAGAAATGGCAGATAATCCTAATCAATCAAAAAGTACCTCTATTGGTTATGGAAGAGGTCGGGGAAGAAGAAGTGTAATACAAGAAGAAGTGTAATACATTAGACAATAACACTATCACATACGCTCTTCATATATACATATTTTCAATCTATTCACATCTCTATATAACTTATTCGTATATATGTTCAGTAACTGTAAACATATATACGTAAATTGAGAAAATTAACTGAATGTGATATATGTAAGAAGTATGGATAAGTTGTATCAAATGGTTGATAATGAAAAATAAATTACGAGTAGAGAAATATCATATTCAAGGTTAGAAGAATATTTAATGTACCAAAGTATCAACCCGACCTACCTGACTAATCTGAACAACTCGTATGCTTTGGGTTGGGTTGGGTTGCACTTTCGTTTGGGTTGGGTTGGGTTAAGATTTTTCAAACCGCAAACATTGGGTTGGGTTGTTCAAATGTCTTCAACCCAATCAACTCAACCCATGAGCACCCTACCTGTCATGTCATACGGTAATAAGAGTGTCATGTAAATCTTGTAACTGTAGCATTTCTATTCTAGTATATATAGGAGTTTGTTATGAGTTGTTAGATATGTTTTTACAAAGATTCTTTGATTACAATTGCTCTCAAATTTCCATATCTGGACAAGTAGCTCTTGAATTGTTTATGGCTGGAGAAAAGAGTATCTGAATTACATGACAACAACACTTAGATGAAGAACCCATTTACATAACCAGAAATTAAATAAAATTGAGAGATGAAGATATGATATGGAGGTGAGACTATTGTGAGGGTTGATATCATCCCCAAATTGAGAGCCGATTTCATCTGATTTCTGGTGTGATTGAGAGAGGAACATGGAGAGTAAATCTAAGGGTAGTGGGGAGAGAAATGTGGGTGTGAAGCCCGGGATGATGGGGTTGGTGCTTCAAAACCTGTACATGATGCATACACGATGGTACCTCTTAAATTTCAACACAAAACCGTTTGGCATGATTATATATAGTATAGATATGTAAAATCAATTTTTTTCAAAGTATAATGTTGTAATAAGAAATGCCATGTCAGCAAAATTTTACACGTGGACATCTCATGAAAACTTGTTAACTTGTGTCATGTCATCTTAATTCAAATCAAAATGTTACTCATTGCTATAATCTCGATCTTGGGTACTAAACTTTTAATCAAAATTTAGGATTAGATACTAAATTTAGGTAAACATGTTTGATTAAATGTACAATGTCTAAATAAAATATTAGAACTAAAAGTACAATGTTGTGATAGGAACCGGCAATGTTATAATAAAATAATTTTGAAAGTACAATATAATAATAAGAAATGTCACGTCAACGATATAGTATATGTGGACAATTTACGTGGAAAGTGGGGTGGCATGGAAACCTAATATAATAAGTAAATTTAAATCAAAAGGTTATCCAATGTTATAATATGTAAATTTTTCAAAATACAATGTCATAATAAAAAATAAATTGAAAATACATTGTCATAATAAAAAAAAAATAAAGTACAATTGATATAAGAATTTTTTTTTTATTAAAGTAGGTTGATATTTTGTATATATTTTTTTTAAATATGTAATTTTCAATTAAGAAAAAAAATCATACTAGCTTTAGATGATCGTACAACTAAAAGAATTTCATACTATTTTTTTAAATATGTACTCTTTTCAGTTAAGTAAAACAATCCACATTTTCAATATTTTTGTAATTTTTTCTTTTTAAAAATAATCGTACAACTAAAGAGTTTGAAAATGAATGTAATTTCTGTAGCATTTTTAATTTCCGTAATAGTTTACATTTATATTAACAACTAACCATAACCAAAATAATAAAACGTATATATAAATAAACCGAACACAGGCGATAGTTTATATTTTTACAAAAAACGTCTTAAAGCCGCTATCGGTCTGATACTTGATTAATACTCGATCAAAGTTAAATGTCCCGTTGGGGTTAATGTTCAATCAATGTTACATCTGTTTAGTCCTCTTACATGGAGTTTCTTCCATTTCTCATGCAAATAAGAAAAAGAAGCATGTCAATTACATACTGATTGACTTTTGAATAACAATTCGTACAAATGTAATAATTTAGGCTTCTTTCTTGTTGAAACACTCACCAACTCCACTCTCTCTCAATTGCATGTATCGATTTGGAAAAATACTCTTGAAAAAACTAGCAACATCATCTTAATCGACATCATCTTAAGGGGCGTTCACCAAAAGCTTACTTGGGTAAGATCTTACCAAATCACATTATCTTATGGTAAGAACCATGAATCTTACCTGGTAAGAGTGAAGGCGATAATTGAGAGTTTCTTACCCGGTAAGTGAGGACGATGACTCTTACCATGGTTAGCGCTCACCGGATAAACTGTTATGTACGTATCTTTTTCATGGACTAAAATCTTATCCGATAAGTAAGTGATAGTGTTAAAAAATTTTCGGTAAACACTTACCCGGATAAGTATTTGGTAAACTTAAGGAGTTAAGTCAACATATGCATGTATTATGGTACTTTGTGAAATTTAAATATTATGATGAGGAACTAAAACTATCAGCATTTAAATGTTGTCCTAGAAAGAGCAGAAAAGGATTCCAGCAGAAAACGGTCCCTGTGCATAAAAGAACTGAAAGCAAAACAACTTGCTTGAATGTGATAAACAAGTTAAGGTCAGAAGGCAAGCGTTTCAACTAATTCATTTGTATTGGAAACACCATTCGAGAAACACTATTGATCAAGAACTCCGTAGTTGCATTTTACCCTAGAAACCACAAAAATGGAACCACCAGAGGACTAACCTTGTACTCGGTAAACCACTAACAACCAAGTGTTGTATTCATCCCTCGTATTTAACGGTAAACCATTGACAAAGAACGAGCACAGCATGAATTCCCAACCATATCAGAAGCACACAAAAAAGGACGGAAAACATTGAATTTACACAAAAAATTGAAGGGGAAAAAAGAAAGATTTCATTAAAATATCACTTTTATTCAGTTTACATGTTAAGCAAACTTAATAACACAAAATCTATTAAACCTTTCCTTATCCATTTAAGCATTTCCAAACTGATACCAAAGATGGGCTTTTTTTTCCATTGATGACATGAAACAACAACTACAACAGTTACCCAGATTAGATTAAAAGTTGAACATACAGAAAACAGCCAGTAGTTCACAAACCAAATCTAGTTTTCAACTCATCACTTCCAAAGTTTTACGATCTTATCATGGCTAGCCGACGCTACCAAACCCGTAGCCGTTGACAAAGCCAAACCTGCAATTAGTCCATCGTGTGCCGACAGGGTCATTGTCTTGTTCTCCGACATGTTCCATAGCTCCAGAGACTGAAACAATCACACCCCACATATCTTATCAGGAATTAACACGCCACACCTTTGAAAACATTGGCACCACAGATGTGATACCTCAATCATTAATACCAACAATGAATGTTGCATTTTGATGTCACATCTAAAATGAGGGGCTGTTTGGCAGTTGCTGAATGATTTAGTGCAGAATAGTTAAGAGGTCAGAATGGTTGAGAGGGTCAAAATGGTTAAGTGCTGAATGAAATAATGTTGTTTGGTAACTGTTCTCTGAATGACAATAAATTACCATTTTAACCCTCTCTAACAAAAACCCATTATTCCATTTTAACTTTTCCAAGTTTGCCCTCCCACCCCTATCTTCCATCGCCTTCCCACGTCTGCTTCCACGATCTCCATCGTTCCTTCTCCATCGTTGGTCGTTGCTTGGTCATCGTCGCTGTGGTATTTCCCTCAATCGTATCTCCATCTCCGCATCTCTCTGTCGTCTCCATCTTCTGTCTCACACATATTCAGGTATTTCCCTCAATCGATCTCCTCTCAAAGTTCCCTCTGTGAAGACCGGCGACGAGAGGGTGGGGGAGGGGCTGTGAAGACCGGCGATGTGTTACCTTCACCGTTAGGGCTCAATCGAGATGGAGAAACAGCAGGGGAGAAAACAGAGATGTTAGGGTTTTTGCTATTCGATCCTTTTTCCTCCCCTTTTTCGATCGATAGGGTTTGCAACTCGATGGCGAGGTGACCGGCGACAACCGGCGAAGCTGTGGAGGTGACCGGCGATAGCGATGGCGACCGGCGATGGCAACCGACGATGGCGACGTGCGTGAATAGAGGGGTTGGGAAGAAGGGGTGGGAAGGGTAAACTTGGAAAAATAGATGTCTGAATGGTTTAGTGGTACCCTAGATGCAAAATGGTTAAGAGGGAGATTGTAACCATTAAGAGGCATTTTTTTTTTTTGCCAAACAACCTCAACCTCTGACCGATTAAGAGGTTGGCTCTTAATGTCACCATTAAGAGCCAAACAAACAGCCCCTGAATGTTTTCAAAGTAAGTTGCTTAACACACAAAACAAAAGCTAACCTGGTAACAGCCGATGACCAATAACGAAGCATAACTGGGATGAAAAACGCAAGAATGGAACTTGTTTCCATTACAGCTAAGGTCATGTATACACTCCCCTTCGTTACCGGACATAAGGGACCAAACTCTGACGGAGTCTTCGCTAACAGACGCCAAATACTCACCTTTTGGATCCCAGCAAACGGAATGAATCGGTTTTGTATGCCCCTACCATTGCACCCAAAATCATCAGCAACACTGTAAATAAATATAATAAACCAAACCAACCCACACCAAGGATCTAGAGATCATTTAGCTAAATGACCTCCTCTAACAGGTTGTTAGACAATTCTTTGTGTATGGAAGTAGTTCTCCCATTATGCAGTAGCATTCTCAAACATGTCAAAAGGTTAAGGATTTAAAAGAGAAATCCTGTCAGAAGGTATAAAGATAAGTAAAAAGAAAATAAAGACCCCCGGTTGCGAAACAAAGATACAGTAAAAAGAATATAAAGACCCCCACCTTGCAAAACAAAGATACAGTAAAAAGAATATAAAAATGCCTAACGATAAAAACACATAGAAAAAGACCTGTAATGAATGTCGACAAGCTTGCGTCTCCACATCCAGTATCGATACGATGTTCTCTGCAGCTGCTGCAAGGTACCTTCCATGACGTGGCTGGAATCTCACTTGAGCCGTCCCACCCTGATCCATCAAAGGAATACAAGATTAAATTTAAAAGTAAACTGCGATTTTCGTCCCTGTGGTTCGTTGAAGATTGTTATTTTCATCCTAATGCTTTCAAATTACGGTTTGTCTTCCTAATTTACAATTCATTGTTGTTTTCGTCACTGTGGTTTACAACTCATTGTTGTTTTCGTCTCTCATACTTAACGGTAAACCACAGAAGGCGTTAGCCTCAGGGACGAAAACAGAAATGAATTGCACACCACAGGGACGAAAACCGCAATTTCAAAAGCACATCTTTTGAAAGTCGCAGGGACGAAAGTCGCAGTCTTTAACAAATCACAGGAATGAAGAACATAGTTTACTCTTAGATTTATATGCAAGACTAAAAGCTCGGTCTTTTTGGACCCAGACCTGAGCATGACCAGTCCTTGACCAAATCAGACTCGCTGTTTTGTATAATTTAAAGTTTTAACAATGAATTTGAAACTGAAGACGAATTTACTGAAAAAAAATGATGAGCCCAAAAGTCCTAATGGGAGAAAAAAAAAAGAAATGATGAAGAAATGAAAAAACTTTTTTATGTTGATGAATCAAGAAATCAAAGGGAAGTTTCATGACTCCAGAACAGTCACTCTACTCCTTGAGGTAGAGGAAAAGTATGTGTATACTTACCCTCCCCAAACACTTCACGTTCTCCGGGGATCATTCGGTTTCGTTTGGCTACGTTTTTTAATTTGGTCGTAATTTTGTTTCGTTGTAATTTTTATAGTTCAGTTGTACTTCAAATTTATCTTGTAGTTTACTTTACTTCGTAAGTTTATACATAGTTTACTTTTTTAATTATTAAAACAAGAAACACATATCAATATTTAATTATACATAAAATTATATTCAATATTGGTCTTAACGAGATCTTTGTAACGATCTCAAGTATATTATATCTTTGTTTTAAATATTCAACAAATTATGTGACAGATAAAAAATATGAAAGAGGCATAAAATGAAGATGCAAATAAGAAAAGGGTCAAATGCAGTTTTCTGAACTTTTATCGCAAGAACAGTAACCCACCGGATTTGGTATTTTGGTGCCTTGGTTGGAGATGCCCTAATAATGACAAAATACAAAAATCATGTAAACCATAATCAATGGCATCAATACGGAAATAGATACTTCGACCTCAATACTTTGCCAAAACTGAAATTATGCATTGTTCGCTGACCATCCCAAATGAAAATTGTTGTGGAAACCCCAAACACTAATTTAAACCAAACCAAAAAGGTCCAATGTGTCCCACCCAGAGATGGGATCTGAGGGTGGGATGTATGCATTCTATTCCAGAAGGTAGAACGGTTGTTTCCTGAAGAACCCCTGGATTGTGCAAAAAGTAAACCCCAAAAACTACTTTGTTGCATTTACGGGATGGAGTGTTCATAATTTTTTGTCGGCAAAGGAGACAGATTCGAATTTCCAACACACAATGTGCAAATCACGAACAAATTATATGATGGTTGTAAGTTATATACCTTGAATACACGTGCACAACTACCATTATTTATGCTCCAATATCTTATCTCCCCATCCCCGTCACACGAACAGATGATGTCATCTTTATTCGGGTGGAAATCTAATGACATCACGGATGCAGAATGCCCGATAAATGTGCGTAGTGAAAACCCAGGCTGCAGTTCAACATCAAAATGCTAATCAAGCAATGGACCAAATAAAATCTTAAACAAATCCAAGCATGAAATCAAAAGGTAAGATTTCCAGCAGTACGTTCATTTTTTGATTGGGTAAAATGCAACAAAGTTTAGTTTAACTCATATTTAGGGTACCGAATAATTCTTTTTCTCGGTCTATATAACGAAGTCATAAACTTTTTTAGTTCGTACCCATTTTGACCAGTAACCTATGGATCTTGTAACATGTAATCACGTGAATACCCGTTTACAAAATGTTTATGAAAGGGTTACAACGAATGGGATGATAAAGCTGGCATCCACGTCATCAAAAGGTAAGTTTATTACATTGATTGAGAAAAAAAAAGATTTATTTGTTGCACTAGATAGAAAATAATGCAAACTTTGGAGCAATAGGGGAAAGGTAACTAACATTATCAGCGTCCCAAATACGGACTGTTTTATCAAAAGATGACGTTGCAAGGCGTGGCATGCTTGGGCTGAAGCGCACGTCTGTGATCAATGATGAGTGTTCTTCAAGAGTGCTTTTTGGCTTTAAAGAATCCGTGTACCACAATACGGCCTGCAAAACAACATCATCCCACGAATCATAACTCTTTTTTGTTCTAGAACTCATTGTGCAGCGTATATATTACAAAAAAATCATCTTGGTACTTTTACCTTTTTATCATGACCACCACTCGCAAGAAGTTTACCATCAGATGAGAAGTGGCAACAGACTACCTTGCTTGCACTAGCACGAACAGAATTGACCTCCGTAAATGTGAACTCTAATATTCGATAAAAAAAGATGAGAACTCGAACTGATAAAAAATGGCAACCACACTTTGTGGTGATCGCAGTGCACCAAAACTCATGGACTTTGACATGGTTGAGGAGATAAATCTTTGAGCAAAATGCAACAAAGTTTGGTTTAGTGTAGCAACAAATTTTTGTTTTCTCAATTGTAACGAAGTTTAAAAAATTGCAATTTTGTACAGACCAGTAACCTACTGATCGTGTGTGACATTTGATGACACAGATACCATTTATGAATAGATTAAGACAAAGTAGACGATGAACTTGGCATCCACGTCATCATATGTTACAAGATCAATAGGTTACCAGTCAAAATAGGAATTGGACCAAAGTACATTGTATTTCATGCAATTCCCCTATAGAACATCAAATTAAGAGCAATTTGCGGTATGCAAGTTTTAGACAGTTGGATTAGCAGTTACCTTTTTGAAAATGTCATAGTTAACTTTTTCTTGCAAATTAAATGTAGTTCTTGCAAAAATGTCAAAACAACACCATAGTTTGCAAGAACGATGATTCTTTTGGAATGAAAACCAAAGTCAAGTAGAATGGTTCGAAAAGTTAGGTATCTAGAAAGGGGGATAGAGGAGTAAATACAGCAATACCAAAAAAGTCGTTTATTTAGGGCCTATGACATAATAGCAAAAGGAAGCCAACATTCACCACAACTTTCAAGCAGGAACTGTACATCATGCGACTCACCTTTGCTTACATCCATACAACGACCAACCGTATCCCTTGGATCGGTATCATCATGAGATAAAAAAGACTCGACATTATCATCAAGAGATCCGTCCTCCACAAATCGATCCATATCAGCCTGCACAATGTCGTTATCATCCCACTGCAAAATTGTATTGCCGATAAGAACTAAAAAAGAAAATTCACCTTAGTGATCTCACCACTTTTAAACGTTACTTCACACTCACCAATTGATTCGATGGAGAGGTAAGAGTGGTGGGACCATCGGCACCAAACATCAACAAAGACTTGGAAGAACTGCCATTATGTGGCAAAGCAGGCATTGAGATCACATCTCCAGGTGTATGAGTTGATGGTGTCGAAGGTGCTGAACTTGGTGATGGACCAGCAGTGTTTGCAGTTCCGGTACTGTTTGCAGGTCCTGAAGATGTCACCGGCTGCTTTCTCTTTCTTCCAGTCTGGTTTTTCGAAGCCTTAGAATGCATTAGAAACCATGTCACACAGATAAATGCTTTAAACTTGCAATTTCCATTCTTGTTGATCTTGACTTGCTTATCTATATCTATACTATATTATAGATCATTTAATTGTTCTTAAAAACTTTTATTTTTCCAAGGATACAATTTATAAAACATTAAGGGGGTGTTGGTTAGGGGTATTAGGGGGGTGGAGATTGGGAATGATAATGAAAACAATCTGTTTGGTATACTCTATAATACTCATTCTTGACCAAAGTGGGGAAAGGGGTGGGGCGTGAAAAGTCATTCTCATTTCCATTCCCCACTGTTGCCATACACATTCCCTAAAAAGAACCAAACGCCCCCTTAGTATAAATTGTTAATGCATACAACATCTTTCAATTTCCAAAATACTTCTATTTTGCACTTCTTTAAATGTTAAGAACAGGGCTTTCTGGAAACCTCTATTACTCTTCTCAAATATAAGGTCAATAAACCAAATGAAGAACAGAATAATTGAGATTTTTAAAAACCACTTCTTGCAATCGACTCATTACAAAAAAACAAAAAATAAAAACAATTTCAATTTTCGGTTAACAATTAAATTTTACATCATGCTGCATTGCACAGGTACACTTCTAGTATGAATTAGATGTATTAACATATCATATCAGACAACAAGCCAGAATGAACTGACCTGATCGTTTCCCCTAAAGGAGTTTGACATGCTTCCATCCCCGGTTACGCTGCTTGTTCCCAAAATCTTTTCTTGCTGAAGATTGAGATTTGAATTTTGAATCAATGGAGCAGAAAGAGAATGCTGAAGATGCTGTTGTTGCTGTTGTTGGTTACCGTTCTGCTGTTGTTGCTGTTGCTGCTGCTGCTGCTGCAGCTGTTGAGCCATTTTTAACTACAAAAGCCACACTTGATTCATTTAGAAGACTGTCTCATTCTTTATTCTTACATGCCCATATAACAAAAGTAGCCAATCGGTTAAAAATGGAATGATCCACTTTCTGAACTATCGTATTTGCATGCCTAGAAAGGGCACACAAAAAAAAACTAGTTCACCATAACGGCAAATTTTTTTGACATGTAAGGGTGTCAAGGGCAGCTTGTGGCACCTAAGCATAATTTGGGGCCATAAAGTTAACATACTGGCAAACCCTCCATGGGTTCTAACAGGACTTGAACCTGTGACCTCCTCCCAGGAGCAAATTATTTTGGACAAATTATAGAAATTTAAATGAAATAAAGGCCTATCGACCTTGACATTTTTTGTCCAAAATCACAATTCAATAACTTAATGGCTCAGATACAAATTATACAATCTCAAATAGTTGCACCCTAAGAAGAAAGGTAACTAAAAGTAAAAAGAAATAAAAGCACCTTGAGTAACATATCTGGATCGCCACGAGGTAGAACAGGCATAGATGATCCAAGATTTGGAACCACATCACCCACAGAATTAGAAAGACCATCTTTACCCATGCTTATGCTTCGATTATTAAGAAGCATTCTCAGTCTTCTGCTTTCATCATTAGCCGATTGTGATGTCATGTTGTGCTGTGCTAACAGAAGCTGTTGCTGATGCTGTGGTGTGAGCATTTGTAGCTGATGAAGGGGTTGGGAACCCTGCATATACGACTTCTGCTGCTGTAGTAAACCAGGCCGCAGTTGATCTAAACCCTGTAGAAGCCAATTAAAGATACAGTATGTACAAGTCTTTAATGCATTGATGAGAGTTGTACCATATTGAAACATCATCGTGTTTTCCAATAGGGAGCTATCAAGTTAATTAAAGTGCAACAAATCATTCATGAACTTACCGTTAGAGGCCATCCTTTCAATGTCAAGTTATTACCACCTTGATTTGATCCTGCGAAAAGCAACTTGGTTATTTGGTACACAAACAAGTTGTGATTTTTGTTTGACAATAAAATCAAAATGCATTTGGCAAGGATTTTTTTTTTGGAACAAAAAAAGTCTTCTGTTAGATCTTGAGGTTCGATCTTATTAAAGTCAAATCATCAATGCATGTCTTTATGTAAATCTTGAAAACATCATAATTATGTTTTAGTTTATGATTGGCATTTTAAAAAGTTAGTAAATTGATTTTGGTTGTCAAAATACATCGTTGTTTGCAATACCCCGTTTTCTGTTCAGTTTTCACTTTATCTTAAAAAGTGAAAATAAAAACAGAAAACACAAGTGTCACCAAACAAGGCCTAAGCAAATGGTAAATCGTGGTTGGCTATCAAATCAATGAAATGATGCTTTGAAGACATAATCTAATGGATTAAACCAATATTACCAGGAATTCCAATCAATGACCCTTCAGGGCCTGCAGCTCGGGGATTCAATACTGGATTCATCTCCGTCTTTATCTCCTGTACGACATAGATTAGTGCAAAAATGAGATCATATCACATGTAAGATAGCAGTAATTGATGGAAATATAAGATTTAAGACTGAACCGAAGTGTCATTCGGAATCTGTGTTTTTATATAGAATAAAGAAACACTTGGAGAATGATCATCATAAAATTAGCACATTTTGACCTTTAAATTCGGTAGTTTTACTCACCGGTGCAGACCCTGGAAGTTGTTGGTTCCGTCCTTGAACTTGAGGCGACATGCTGCCAGATGTACCATGCAACACTTGACTGAAAAAGAATTGGTTCTGAATTCTAAGTTTTATTATGAGAGACATGCTGTGAAGCTATTCCATCTTGTTTTTGAAAAAAAAAATCAATTAAGAATTGGAACTTGCATCTGATAATTAACGAAGGGTCTATTTGTAACAGATTCATTTTTTCCTTCACTTATTTATTAAATTCATGGGATGCAGCTGGAACATTTTCAGTCAAAAAGGTCACCATGAAGCACCTACTCTTGAATGATGTCAAACAGGAAATGAAAATCTTAACTGAAGTGATGGTTTCACAAGACCCAAAAGAAGTTTCTTAGGAATTCTATTGAATATATAAAACATAAATTGTGGACGCAATATATAGAAATATAATAGGGTTCCCTTTCGAAGAAACATAACGTAATGTTTATAAGGGATGGATTTACGATAGTTTATAAGTAAGACTAAATATTCTTTAATTACTGTAAGAAGGGCATGTGCAACCATCAGGAATGCCCCAACCAGGGCCCACAAGATTCTTCTACTCATCTATATGAAGAGCATTTTATATGTTTGAAAAACAATCAGATAAACTTAAACTATCTACCAAATTAGATGTTACAATTTTATGGGATGTGAAGCATTTACAAATGCATGAAACCAGAAATGAGCGATCAACCATAATGAATCATAAAGAGTGCGTTTTACTTGCTACAAAATATGTGTTTTTGGATGGTTTTCTCCTTTAACTGAAAGAAACAACATTACCCTGAAGGTTGCCCAGATGCAGCTGATTTCAAAATTGATGCATGTTTCGTGTCCAAAAGCTGGCCAACATTCTCACCATATCTTTGCTGAATAATAGAAAAAAGAAAGAAAAACAAAATCAGATATTTCAGACAACAATCAATATTTCTCTGTTTCAGCAAATGTCAACATGCATTAAATGTTGAATACTCCCACCGTTTTAACGAAAATGCATACACTTAATCTTTTGTTGTAACAGACTACTTGCCAATTAAAAACTGAAATAGATTTTTAAAAAAATTGAACACCACGATCTTTCTAATTGTCGCCTGTTGTTGCATGGTTTTGTGCCATTACCGCATTTATTGTTCAAGATCTTATGAATTTAGCTGAAAGATACTCGCTTGAACACAAATTTCAACAGTCAACAGACTAATCACCAATTCCATAGTATGTTGTCATAAAACGTTATGCCAAAACCACGTTTTTTTGTTGACGATATCAACAATTCATATAGGTAAAATTAAAAGCTACTCTGTTTAACCTCAATAGCAAGCAGTTAATCTAATATATGGAAAGAGCTAATGAAGATATACCTTCATAGCTGCATCATCTAACGAATCCCTTGAAAGTGGTACTTTCAAATTCTCCTCATACATCTTTGTAGCCATGGCGTTTGCAGTCCCGGGATTTTGTCTCATAAGAGGCTCGTTTCCAACAAGCCCATTTGAAGTTCCATTGAGTAGGTGGACCCCTTCTCTCCTCTGTTGCTGCTGCTGCTGCTGCTGCTGCTGATGTTGCACTTGTTGTTGTTGCTGCTGCTGCTGCTGCTGCTGTTGGTGTTGCTGTTGTTGTTGCTGTTGTTGTTGCTGTTGTTGGTGTTGCTGTTGTTGTTGCTGTTGCTGTTGTTGTGCCTGACGTTGCAACATCAGCTGTTGCATCTGCATCTGTTGATGCTGCTGCTGCTGCTGTTGTTGTGGATGAGGCGTTTGTTGGGGTTGCTGTTGTTGCTGCTCCCTCGCTTTGATTAACTGCGTCTGGAATTGTGCAAAGCATGGTTTTAAAAATCGTTTGAGGCTTATGCCTCAAGGTGAGGCGGCCCAAAATCACACCTGACGCGACGCCTCTTAGACCCTGGACGAGGCTTATGCCTTGGTTCAGTGAGGTGTGAGGTAATATCGAGGCATATACTTTGGTAATGTTTTTTTTTGAATTTTTTTAAGCTATGGCATTAGTAGTACTTCTCTTTATGATACTAGTACTTTTTGTAATTTTAAAAACTAAAAATCAAAGCACAATGGCCTCCAATGTGTGTTTTTAAAATTTTAATACCCAAAAAGCTGGTACTTTCTCATCTCAACCAAAAAGTGTGGTTGGACCCTTCCTCTTCCTCCAATCAACCAATTTTTCCAAACCTTCTCAGCCAGTTTCACTCTTTCTTTATGTCAAGAACCACTGAACCAACGCCTCTTAGTAGTTTAGTAGTATATATAACATATACAAATGTGTATGTGTAGTATATATATGTATTTTGGGGTATCCGTATTTCCACCTCATGCTTACGCCTCAGACCGCCTCGAGGCATAAAGCCTAGCCTCGTTGACGGGAAACGCCACAAGGCCTGATTCCGTCTTTTAAAACCTTGATGGAAAGAACATAATATAAGCATAAATAATCCAAATAGCCCGCCCACCCAGAGGTATGGTCTGGGGGGTAAGATGTACACAGACCTTACCTCTGTCCCAAGAGACAGAGAGGGGCTGCTTGGTTGGCTTTCCATTAAGTCGTGTATGGATGTATAGACGGAAGGACCGTGTTTTTTAATTGTAAGGGGCAGGTTTAAAAAAGAAACTTGGCTTTCTACATAAAGCTCCCCCCTAAAAGGTTAGTGAATAAGCCACTACCAAACAGTCATTTATAGTTAACCGAATAAGTTGCGAGTCCCATTAAGCCTATTAAGTTGCTAATAAACAGGCCCAAAGTCTGTTTCTTAGAAAACCCTTGGCTTGCAAAAAAAAGAATAAGAAGCACAACTAAGCCAAACGAACTCGGCACACCACACTCAAAATTAGGAGATAGGGTTTGGGGGGTAAGGTGTACACAGACCTTACTTCTGTGCTAGGAGACAGAAAGTTTGTTTCCAAGAAAACCCAGTGTTGCGAAAAAGAATAAGCAAACCAGACAGAACTGACCTGGTGTATCCCACTCGAAAGTAGGGTCAGGGGGTGGGATGTGCGCAGACATGTCCTCTATCCCAAAGGGTAGAGCGGCTGTTTCTGCGAAGACCTCCAGCGTGTGCAAAAGTGTGAGTAAATAGGAAATAAATTACATAACTATAAAGATATAAGCTTGAATAATATATGTGAATCAATTGAGGCGATTGACGTAACCAATCACAAGATAATGAAGTTCTAAAACCTTACAAGTATATTAATTAGTCCATGACATAAACAATGTGCACAACCAGTATCATAAGGATACAACATCACTAAATGAGAAAAGTGAAGAACTCAAACTGACCTCAATATAGGAAGCTGCGACTTCTGAGTGCTTCTCATTAGTCCTTGCTATAAAAATGTCCCAAAACACCGACCACCACTCAAAAAGAAAGCCACCAGGGGCGTCGATAGCTAGATTTTATAACGAAAATTATAAACAATTTGACAAAAACTACATGAACTAACAACAAAACCATTTCTTATTTTCACATAAGCTTTTAAAGAAATTCATACCAACAGGGTCGGATGAGACTTTTCCTTCGGCTTGAAACGCCTGAGCAGAGGCTTTCAGATCCCTCTTTACCAAGTAATCATGTATATAAACATCTAACCTGTTAATCCAAGACAAAATCAGTCAAAAAAACTAGGCAAAGTTTGAATCTTTACACATGAAAAAGCTTATTCAATCTTAGTACAGGCAACAGAAATCAAATTCTACTAAATACCAACCAAACTAAAGAGAGAAATCGCTCATCCACAACCTCAAAGGCGATTGAAGTTTGGGAGGTTAAGCAAATAGAGGCTTAATCAAGCTTAAGGTGGCAACAAAATCCAAATTAACAAATACCCAGTTGAAAAGAGTTCGTAGAAACTAAATGGAGCCACATTTAGATGTTTGTCCCTAGGTTAGGTGCACCCAGAAAACAATAAACGATGAAATTTAAAAAGAAAAAAAAACATCAGACATGAAAAGACCTACTTAGAAAATTATTTCCTTTTTCCATTTGTAGTTCTTGAAAATGTGGCAACAGTGAATCTATCAAGTAAATCCAACTTACTAATTGACACAAATTGATACAAAGTAAAGCGAAAGGTGGATGGACGCACAAACCCTAGAACAACCTAATACTGGTAAAGATCAAGAAAAGATTCAGTAAAAGAGCAAAATCAACAAAGATGAAACATACCCACAACACAAATCTAACAAAAAAACAATTGAAACTTATCAAGATTAGAAAAGGGGCATACATTTTATCAGCTTCCCAGTTAGCCTGAGACATGTTTCCTCTGATCAAATATTCCTCAACCAAAAAAGCTGAAGAAAAACAAAGTGTTAGATCTTCATATGATAAAAATTTGGGCTTTTACTTCTCTCTGTAAACCCTTTTAACAATCTTATAGAAAATTCTGGAATATTTTCAAGTAGAAGACAAGATCCCTCAAGAAAGAGAGGAAAGGAGAGAGAAGGGCAGCAGGCCTGTTTACTGACTCAAGAGAATATCAAGAATTATGGTACTGTTACGTTTATATAGGACTGCACAAAACAAAGACGGAAAAGAGATGGATAGAGATGGCTACAGCCCAAGAACGAAAAGTGACTTGCAAACAACAACAAAAAGGAATCCATAGAGATTGATTAACTTTTAATATTGAACGGATTGTACTAAATAGTTTTTTTTAATTTATTTTTATTTTTTGATACTATTTTTATTTATTTTTACTAGGGATACTTACGTAATGTAACAAGATATATATCGATTTTAATATTTTGTTTTATTCTGTTTCAGTAGATGTTATAATACTTGCCTATGTGGTTTTAAGAAATAAATAAGGGGAGTGCTAATGGCACCCCTTTTGATGTCAGAATCAGGTCATTCAAGTATTGGGAATGTAAAAAGCATGTATTGATGTTGATGTGTGTGAGGAAGAAATTCATGGATAGGGGTGCATTAAGCAATGCATAGGGGTGCATTTAGCCCACCCCATAAATAAATTTTTTGTTTTTGAATAAAATATAAATTTGAATATATTATAAAATTTATATATCGACGTTATTATCAAATTAACAATTTAAAAGTTCTTGTTTTATGTGTATTTTTTTTTTATTTAATTTTTTTATTATAATTTAATTTAAATTTAATAACAAAATAATTTATTTTTGAATTAATAATATATTTTTTATAAGGATAATAATAAGTATTATGTTAGAACTCAATAATTGTCTTGGGGGCTGTTTGGCAGTTGCAGAATAATTTGGTGCAAAATGATTAAGAGGCTCTCATGGTATACTGCACAATGAAATATAATTGTTTGGTAATTGCTTACAATGAAATTAGGCGTTGAATGTTTAAGAAGACCCAATATACAAATTTATTCAGAGGGTTTTAAAACCCTGAAGAAACAAACTTTTTTTTGTCAAACAAGATTCATCTCTTAGCAATTCAGAGTTTGTCTCTTAATGGAACTATTAAAAGGTAAACAAACAACCTCTTAATTATATTTTAGAATTTTTATATTTAAAAGGGAAAATCACCAAAATGACCAAAATATACCCGATATATTCACGAAATAAACCATTTTTCATCAAAATTGCAAAAATATACACACGAATCACTGCTGAGGGTGATCCATGACCATGGGGGGCGATCCCTTTATTTTTGACCAAAAAATAATATAAAAAATCATTTTTGGTGGGTCACACATGCCTCTCTTTAGGGTACAACATCGTTTTGCGTGGATCTACCCACGGATCGCCCCCCGGGGGCTATCCAGCCTTTAATTATTATTATTTTTTATTTTTTTGAAGTATTTTTAATAAAAAGAAGATGTTATTTAAACTGTTTTTTTTTTACCTTTTTAGGACCAAATTTCATGGTTATAGGTTTAAAAATAAAACCATGATAATTGTGGACACGCAAAAAATATTTTTATCTGATTTGTGGGACGTAAATCAGATATTATATCTGATTTACGAAGTTTGACCGCTATTTTGTCTTTTAGTGTTTTTTATTTGACAATAATTTGACAATTAAGGGGTGTTTTTAATAAAAATGAAACGATATTTAAACTTTTTTTTAACCTTTCTAAGATAAAATTTCATAGTTTTAGTTTATAAAATTAAAAACATGATAATTGTGGTCATGAAAAAATTATTTGTAAATCTTTTCTTTCAGTGATTTGATGATAATCTCTTTTATCTTATACGAATTATTTATGTTTTTGTCTTTCAGTTCCAGCAATCATCACTGAGTTTGTTCAGTGATCGCTGAAGAACTTGTAATGTAAATCCATCAGCGACAGCGATACTTCAAGAAGACAAAAGTCACACCAAAGAACCTTCAGCGAAAGTCGAAGACTGAAACTGAAGATTAGAAACTAGTGAGTACGCGATCTGAAGCGGTATTCAGTAATTACAACATAGTCTACTTATGTGTGAAAGCTGCCCAAGCCTTAGCGAATGCTGAAGAGACCTTCAAGTTATTCCAGTATTCAGCGATCAAAAGAAGCTTGTTGAGCATGACTATTTTTGTCTTGTCCTTATACACACAAAGGACAAACTCATACCCTTTTTAAAGTATAGTACGGTACGGAGCCGATTAGTTGACTCTACTACGCACCAACTTTGTGAAAGGATGTCCGCTCATGAATAGGCTTTTGTACTATTCATTATAGCAAAAGACAAGTTTTTCTCTAAAGGCTTGACACGTGTTCTAACCCTACCACGTTGCATTAAATGTGCATTTTATGCAATGGGTATAAATAGATGTGTTCTATCTCCATGTAGAGATACTCTTCACTAATACTTACTCTTGAACCCTAACTCACGTTCATAAGTAAAAGAACACACATCTAAGAACACAATATGCTCATCTTCAAGAGCAAGTTAGAATCCCATTTTTGTATTCTAAATAGTTCTTCTAAGTCTTTTACAACAAATCTTTTCTTCATTTGCTAAGAATTAGTGTGTAACTTTAGATTGTTTAGATAGGTTTTATTTACCTTATCTTTCGACAAACAATCTTGTAAAATCTGTATTGATCATTTTTTATCAATATATATATATATATATATATATATTTAAAATTTGAAAAGTTTATTGTGTTTGTATTCATCTCCCCCTTCTACAAACTGTTATACACATCTTGTAGACCCTAACGGGACCAACATTTTTATCTGATTTTTGGGGGAAAATCAGATATTATATATGATTTACATAGTTTGACCGTTATTTCGTCTTTTAGTGTCTATGATTTGACGCTGATTTGACGACGATTTGACGCCGATTTGACGATATATTTTGTCTTTCTACGTAACGTTTGTATAAATAAGCGGTCGGGGGACCATAATCACCATCCCCACCGACCTTCTCTCCCTCCTACCTCTAGAAAAACCGACACCCACGGTTGATCACCGATCATGGATCACCGACGACCATCATTCACCGATCGACCGTCATCCACCACCGTTTCACAACACCGACCATTTTCCGCCGCCAACTACCACCGTGAATTGCCGCCATCCACCACCTTCCGCCTCCACCTTTTGCCGCCAATTACCACCATCCATCCCCGCTACCGACCACATTCCGTCGCCACCGACCACCTTCCACCGCCACCGACCACCGTTTGCCGCCACCTTCCACTATGGAAAAACCGCTAAAAATTCTCAAAATTTTGAATATATATTATACGTATATAAATACGTACATATATATATACGTATATAAATACGTACATATATATATATATATACGTATATAAATACATACATATATAAACGTAGGGGCTTAATCAAATGAAAACTGTTTTGTTTATGGTAACCGTGAGATCCAATCTCAACCACACAAGTTAATAATCAATGGTTGAAATTAAAAGAAAAGTTAATTAGTGAACTTCCAAAAATAAATGTATAACATTTAATGATAGAATGTAAATAAGGGTAAAATGGTCAAAAAATTAATTTAATGAGCCGGATTTGAACGCGCTACAAATCTGTTAATATTCTAACTTTACAATTCTTGAAATCGAAACAAAATAGACAGAAGATACTGGTTGGTTGTGCAAGAAGAGGATGATTTGATTAAACCCTAGAGACGATCACTTGAAATACTCTATACATAATCGATGGACGTGAACGAGAGAGGAGGTAAAAACGATTTTCTTCTTGATTTCACTATGAAGCATAGTGTAAACATTGTTTCCGTTATGTGGAATGCAATAGAAAGAAGAAGCGATAGGATTAAGGCAAAATCGACTTTCACCTTCTCCAACAAAGAAAGCGAACCAATAGATTTAGACAATGAGGTTGAAGACCAAGTTGATCGAAGTGGAATCGAAGAAACAGGTATCATTTTATTATTTTCCCTAAATCGATATAAAGTTATTAAGATCAATTTTAGATTTACTTGGTCGTGTTGTTTTGTTTTAAACAATGTGGAAACAAAATATTCTGTTTTTTTGGAAAACAATTTGTAGCATTTTGTTAAACATGTTGTGTTACATTGTGGTAAAAATTATGGTGGTTTTATTTGCTACCAGAAGGTTTGTGGTTTCATGTTGAAAAAAGGATTGTGGTATCATGTGGTAAACTAATAGAACTTATATATTTCCCTAGTAGAGTTGGGTTTTCATTACTGTTTGGTAGTCAAGATTGTATTTGGAACTTGGTTTTTTTAACAATTTTTCATTGTAGATGTTGTGTTACAATGTGGTGAAAAATAATGTATTGGTAGCATGTATTACTGGAACTTATATTCAGTTAACTAGGAGAACATTGCCCAGCTTTTGTTAATATAAGCTAGGCATATGTAACAAAAAGATTGGAAATCTGTACACAATTTACATTATGCATTCATGTTTTTACACTTTTGAGCATAATGAATATGAAGGCAGTTAGAGGGACTCAACAAATTGAGGAGCCGCCAAATCCAGGTCTTGTTTCATGACACAGTTCATGAACCATTCATTATTGAATGTTGGTATGCCTTTATTTACAGCTGACAATGCTTCATCCATACTCTCTTCACTTGCCACAAATATGGTTTTTGATGAATCCTTCACTTTCTCTAGATTGTGAATAACCTGAATTTATAAAAAATGTCAAAAACAACTTAAAGACAGTTTTAACAACTTGGGTTGTGGTGAATTAGTTAAGGCTATGGGAATGTAGTGGAAACTTCATCTTTCCCAACCCCGGGTTCGAATATAGGCACCACCAAAGCGCTTATGGCCAGGGAGGTTCACATGTGATGACTCCAGGCCATTCGTGATCCCGGGGATTAGTCGGTGGGCGTAAGCTAGCTTGGATACCCAAGGTTACCCCAAAAAAAAAAAAGAACTTAAGACAGTTATGTATGTTAGACCCCATCACTCTTATTGTAAAAGTAATGAAAAATGTACAAGTATGGAAGTGCAGAGGACCGAAGGGAGAAAAGCTGGAAGAAATCTTAAGTGTTCAAGACCAACCAGAGATGCGATGACGATCCATAGGTGCGATGAACAATGCATCTCCATCACTCCTCTGGTTATAAACACTTAGAGGATTCAACATTTGTTCAATCAGAGGTATCCAAG